TATACGGTAAAAAATATGGATATCTTGTGAAATTGGATCCATGTGAGTAAGACGAAATTCAATTAACAAAAAAATGTATAACTTATTTATTATTTTATTATTATAGTGGTAACGGTTAGGCATTTTCACTATTTATATTTTGGAAATCCATCTTGTACTATTATGAAAATAGTTCAGTTTGATTCGGGATATAATTTATTAGAACCATTTGAAAACTCACTTTTCGGTTCGGTATATTATATTTAAAACTCTTTCACTTTGATTTGATTTAATCTTATTTGATGAGATATGATTTGATTAGATATCATCTAAACAACATATTAAACTGAGATGCAGTTATCTGATTTGGTATAATCTTATCTGTTTGTGTTTCTTTGAAATACAATATTTTTGAATACATAATTTTTTGTTCAAATGAATTGAAATGTTAATATGCTTGAATCTGTATTGTGGTGCCGCTACGCAAATTAGTAAACGGGGGTCTCGCTGTGTTGTTGTACTCTGGAACCTCTGTCATAATAAAAAAAATTAGTTTAAAATTTTGAAATGAAAAAAAGTATAGAAAAAAAAATTCAAACTAGATCAATTTTTTAAAAAATATTTTGTTTAAAATGGTACCTAAGAATTTAAACAAAAGATACCTATCCCTCCTTCTCTCGCCTCTAATTTCACTTTAGATAACATATGCAAATTTGGGGGGAGTAGATTTTTTGAGTGAAAATTTGGCCAAAATTATGTAACCCTACTAATCCCGCCTCCAATTTCACCCCTTCCCATCGTCATTCACAAACCCTCGTTCAGAAACCAATTTCATTCCTTCCGTCATTCAGAAACCCACCTGCTCATCCCATACCCGATTTCCAATTGAATTTCAGCTCGTTTCTTTTGATTTTTGGAGCTCTAGATTCTCTTTCAGCAAGCGAATCCATATAAGAGCTGAATCGGTGTGTTTTGAAGATGGATTCTAGAAAATTGAAGGTCAATGCCGATGAATCTACTATTCATCTACGATTTTTAGACTTCGTTTCAATTCGATCCATGCATGTTTGAGGGCTAGTTCTTTGAGATTCTAAGAGACTTGGCTTCCTCTATCAAGGTATGATGATGGATTCCCCAACCATTTGAACATGCATTTCATTTGAGGATTTTTTAGAAATCGAACACTATTCATTGTGTGACATTTTTGCTCGATTTGCACTGGTTATGAAGTGGTGTTGGTCATTTTCTTTGTGGATTCTTATTTTGTTCGTTGTGAATTTATTTTGGAGGACCTGTTTGTGTTGGTATTGCTCTTGTATTTTCGATTAAATGGTACTACTGCTCTGAATTAGGAATAATTCTGAAATCTTCGGAAGAACACAATGAGGTTCATTGTGGCATTTGGTCTTGCTCTGGGCTTCCTGGTGTGGAATGATTCAGTTTGCTATAATATAGCCAACCTCTTTTCTATAATTTGTATTTTTTGTATTTTTAGCCTGGTGTGGAATGGTACTTTTGTTATTTGTATTTGCTATGCAGTCGTTTTAGCCTTGCATATGTGAAGATGGTTTACTATTGAATCTGGAGGAGGGAGCTTGTAGAGTATGGGATTCGGCGATGCTCCCTATACAGTTGATGTTAGAGAAGTGCTTCAACTGTTTCTGGTTTATAGTTTTTTGGGTTTCCTTCTCCATCATTGTTGCTTGTACACTGTAATATAATATAATGAATGAATCTTATGAATGATGACACAGGTGACCATTCCCACACTATGAAAGAATCACTTTGTTCATCGCGCTCCCCCTCATCCAAGGTTTTTGTCAAGTACACCAAGGCCTTCGGGTTACTGTCATCAGCACCTCTGCCGACAAAAAACAAGAGGCCATA